GTCTTCTGCCACTACAGACACCATGTAATGTATTGCCCATGGTCTAGGTTCAAGTCATCAAAGGGAACTGAGTTCCTGGGGTGTCGCCGTGGTGTTAGTAACAGTATGTGATGAGTTGTCTTCCCTCAGGTAAACATGATATTGCTTCACACTGGAGTGGTGATCCTGGAATCCGTGCCATGAGACTTTTCGAAGGATGTGTTATCAGACTCAGTTAATCTACTTTGATTGATGTTCAGTGTTGAACACATTTCCACCAACTGGAATGTCTGCATCATCACAAATCCATCTGAGATGACAGTGGCGGACATGTTCAAGGAGTTGATGGCGCGAATGCCAACATAATACTTGGTGCCATGAGTCATATTTACCACTGGTAGAGGGAGATGTTTGTAGTCAGTCCTGCACTCTGATATGGCAACAAGGTCTGAGACCTGAAAAAACCCAACACATTATAATATAATGCTATGGCATGAACACAAAACATGATCATGTGAATTTACTCCCCAATATTTTATATCTAACACTAACATATCTATATTAAACAAATAGAGACATGAACATATGACTCATATGTGGAGATGAATCACCTGTCATATTTTGTAATGACGAAAGGGGCGGTGGGGTAGCCTAGTGGTTAAAGCGTTGGCTCGTCACGCCGAAGACCAGGTTCGAATCCTCACATGGGTACAATGTGTGAAGCCCATTTCTGATGTTCCCCGCCGTGATGTTGCTGGAATATTGCTAAATGCGGCGTAAAACTAAACTCAGTCAGTCAGTCAGTTGTAATGACAAAAGATGATCATGTGAATTTATAATAGAATGAAAACGTTTGTACGAAACGTATTCTCTTCTTGTCTTTGTCAACGGATTGTTCGTCTCAATTCTGACCTAATTCGCCTGTCGACATATTTATATTTTATATATTTATATATATATATATGCCTTGACCATATCGATTGACTACTGAGATAAGCATATGAATCATGTGTTGAGATGAGTCACTTACCATATCTTGTAACGCCAGCCCAGATTATGTATTCTTCAATGCTTGTCTGTGTTTCCTGGAACAGTCCTTGCCAACAAGTAGTTATGTCAATTCAATGATTGCTGTCGAAGACGTCAAAGTCTCGGCTGCATGTTGAATCTGAATCCTTGAGTGCTCGACTCTTCTCACAGAAGGTGGTGTATGGTCGACTCTTATATACTTGGGGATGTGAAAACTCTGTATTCAGAATCCCAGAGTACCAAGCTCTGATGTAGATAACATAGAAGTCGTCTCCGTGTTCTAGGGGCTCGGCCATATGGCAGACAGTGGACTATCTCAGTCCTCTTTCCTACATCATACCAGAAACTTTCTTCACTAGTCTTAAATATTCCAGCTCCAAAAGGCTCGTTAAGCAGCCCCATGCTCCACTCATATCGCTGAATGTCGTATGTTGTATCCATCTCCCAATACCCGGCAATACAAGACAGAGAAGGCGTAATGTACAGGCCCGACTGGTTATGGGCTCTTGGATATATCTGGACATCCACAAGCCTGTGTGAGGTGACATTTGACATATCACGACATGTAACGGGTGTGGAAGGTGGATTACACTTCCGCCCAACCACTGCACATGTACAGTCATCAGTACAGTAGTGAGTGTCACAGGAGTGACGCTGTAGTTCCAGTGTTCCCTCGCGTCTCCTCTTGTGATCGGTTGCTACAACTGAGACGGTAACTTTACCAACAGGACTCAGAAGATGTGCATCATTCTCAGCCCAAATAGATAAAATGATTTCCCCTCCACCAAGTAACTGTGTTAGCTGTATTGTGCTTGACTGATCCTTCACAGATGGGTCATGCTTGACTGTAACCGTACCATTTGTTAGTTCGCCACCTTCATACGACGTTCCAACATTTAAATGATAGCAGGGAAATGTTTGATTCTGCATCTGAAAACCCATACCAGGTAAGATTGACAAATGTTAGTTCAGATCCATTGACACTAATAGTTTGCCACGTTAATGGTGGCTTAAAGCCTCCACTATTGGAGAAGTAGAATCAATCAGAATGTTGTTGCTGTGTGACGTTGTACACAAGCCTGCACGGTTGCAGGAAGTCACCGACAGTTGGTATTTGTCTCCATTCCTAAGTCGCGTTTTCCTTCGGCAGAATCAGTAAGTACGAGTTCTGTGGTCCTAAGGTAATCTGTTCTACTGCTACGGCTGACTCGTGGTGAGTTTTAAAGCTAAGTATGTGCTCATGTATTGGACTCCCATTATCAACAAACTTCCACCGTGAATACAGGACACTGTTATCCCACTGTATGGGGATGTTTTCGGGACCATCTGGTAATGTTGATATGAACACTGGTCTATCGACGACTACTGGTGCAGTGTCATCAACTTCAAAACTGGGGGAGACAGCTTCGACAAACAGACCTACAGGGTTGTATGCTCGTACTGTCACAAACAGAGAAACAGAGAGTGGTAGGTGCAGCCCACTTGCCAAGTAAGAATCGGAGAGGGCAGTGTTGGTGAAATTCATTATGTCACAAGAACCCGATCTCTGCCCAATACAGCACTCAAAATGGTGGATTCCTGTCTCAGCATCCTCGAAACCAACCCATTTACTGTGGACATATGATCTGCAATGGACGAATGGCATTGAACAATAAATGTATATAAATTCATAAACAAAGTATTTGCATTGGCGAAACGTATGCCACTCATAATTGCTATTGTGTATAAACCGCATACTTATGTTAATAAATATAGTTAAGCAATGAGAGTTAAGCAGTCTTTATATTATTTGCAAATGTCAAAAGACACAAAATAAACTAAAATGTTTCAGAAATCAGTCACCTGTGACCGTGGTATTTGTTATGAGTGTCAGTGTGACCAACAGTAACAACACCAGCTGCAGGAGCGGATCCATCCATAACGACACCATCTGAAGATGTAGTGACACAGAGCCCTGCATTGTTACACGCCTCGACTGTGCTGTAATACTTCACTCCAGGGATGAAGGCATGTGTCCAGTTATGATCTGAAACATGTTCACACACATTAGAGATTCCATGTGTAGGTAGCCAAGTTATGAAAGCTTTAACTCATCCCACGGTAATCCTGGATTCGATTCCCCAAAAGGGTACAGTGTGTGAAGCCAATGACCGGTGCTCCCGTTGACACTTTGCTATAATATTGCAAAACTAAAGGTTTGTGGATGTCCTCAGTTAACACTTAAATTGCTCCATAGTTACTTGTCCGCAGTCCAACAGCCAGGAGAGGTTTGACGTCCAAAATGCCTGGTAAAGTCCCAAGTCCTATGCTGTAGCCTTGTATCCCAGAGTGAGGGTCGTGAAACCCAGTCCAATGACAGCCTAGCCCAGTTGTGCTGGTTTGATAGTCCACCTCATCCTTAGGTAAAAGACAAATGATCAGTTTGTTAGAATTATATAGTTTGCATAAACCAATGTGGATTCAAAGACCTGCCTTCCAGGAAGAATCAACAAGCACCAAACCCAAAGACATAAATAATACTGTAACAAAAAGCAAAATAAAATTATGTTGAACAAGCACGTTTAGGTGACGCTAAATCTCCATCAATGAAGGTAAAGTACTCAAACAACAAGTAAAATGCGTGCCAAAACCACCTCGATAATTGTCAGTGGAGATGGGTTATAATTTAATATAAATGACAGTATACAGACTAAAACCACCCTCACCTTACTTCCAACATAACCATCTCGAACAATACCAGCATATGGTTGGGAGTTGTCAATGGTGAATGACTTGGCTATGCACAGAGACCGAAGCTGGGCGTTGTTGGTGGCCTAGAATTCAAAGGGTGAGGAACATATATGTACTTGTGTAACAAGAAGCAAACACAACAATTATTGCTTATTTAATTCTTCCTTGTGTTTACCTGAATTCTGATTTCATAGGCATGCCCTTCAATAAATGTATCATTAATGACAAAAATTGTAGATTTTGTTCCTGTTCCAAAACGTAGAGGTGGCGCTCCTATGTTGACGGATGTGAAAATATTCAGATGGTAGGACTCGATGCCACTTTCGGGGTCGAGGATATCTCTCCACTGGATGCGAAGTGTCTTTGTCCTCAAAACCTTCTTGTGCGGGTACAGTCCTTCAACCTGAATCTCACCGCAGACAGGTGGGGTAAGATCGCCTACTACTTCAGGAGAAATACTCTTTGTCGTATGACCAACATGATCTTCAGCTGAAAAATATCAAACTGGTTGAGGCAATTTTCTGTATACACAATTAAAAACAATGTTCCTTTCAAATGCCACTGATTAGACAAGTTTATGTATTACCATCACCAAGCTGAATTTTAATATCCTTTTACTGTTAGCTTGTTTTCCCTAAGATGTGTCATCATCACAAGTTCATATTCAGTCAATAACACATGTTCATGATATAGTTGGATTTAGCTCATGTGATTATGAACATGATTTTGCTGAGTTTGTTTCCTTCAATTTAATCACCTTTGATTGCGACATAGTACACTTCTCCAGTCTTGATGGAGAGCCCCTCAGCTTGAAACGACGTACGTTCGCCAATCTTTGTCCATGCCATGACATTTTGACCACAAGGATAGTTCCCTTCAAACATAAGGTTGAAATGTAATGTACAAGAGAAAATATGTGTAGAACTTTGCTATCTTATTTGTTACATTCTCTCTACTCTGTATGTTCAAAACAGCTTCATACCGATAGCAATGGAGTATGACTTGATTGCGTGGGCATATGTAACTCCATGTGGCTGCTTGTCAGAGAACCCGGACCATGTAATGACCATCCTTGAGGGATCGGTGATGTAGCCAGATACTGCGTTAGTTACACTGACGGAACCTCCAACAGGGGGAGTCTTGTCCACCACAAATCCATTTCCAAAATGGTGAAATACCTTTTGCATTTTCACTGACATTGGCACATATGTAATAGGAATCGGAATCGTCAAAGTCAATCCTACCAAACCTGACAAATCCAGTTCGTGTAAATTTCCATGTCAAACAAGATATATCCGAATCACAGTCATACACCGGAACCTGTTGGATTCCCCTCATGATGAACCATGTGACGTTGCGGCCAGCTGTATTGGTGATGACAGCACTCACTCTACTGCTGCTGTTGATGAAGTCAACATCCAGCTCATGTAGCAGTTTTAGTCTTGTGCCAAGTCGTTCACTGTGGAGAATATCTTCAATATTGGCCAGTCGCTTGTCATCTGCAGGCAGCTCAAACAGTGCATGCTTACTATACGACGTAGCGTATGGATTCAATGTCAGCTCGGCACATTTGGAACCAAATTGCCCAGATGGACAGAAGACTCGTACACATGTGAACAGTTTTTGGTAGGAGTGGATTGGAAGGATCAGGCATCTGGAGGTCTGAAATCAGAACAAATACCTATTCAAATATTCAATAAAACAATTTGCTTTCCTAAGGAAATATGACTTACGATATATTTCACACAATCATAGAATATGAAGTTTTGTCAAGTGGTTCATTGATATATCGATATGGCTGCAATACTGCCGATATGACTTTAAATCTTAACTCACTCACTCATTAATATATATCGTACATTGTTTTGATAGTAACTATATTTATTAGTAGTTATATCTTACTGATATCATCAGACTCATCATCAACATTTTTTCACCTTGACATTGCAAGAGCCAGGATGTTCTTGTATCCACGTTGTCACCGGGCTGATATCTGATTCGGACTTGACGATTGCCCATTGAATGATGCAGCTCCCAGATATCTTTAAGGACTCTCCACAGTCAATACTTTCTACTTCAACAGATATGTTTGTACAGTCTCCAGTTTCATCTTGAATGACAGAAACGATATTCCAAATCTCTGGAATTCTAGATATTATCACGCCATCAGACAACTGTCCTGCGATACAGGTGTGTCCATAGCAAGGCGATATAGAAGCCCAATAATGGTGTCCTGTTTTTAAATTGAGATTGTTTATAGAGTGTGCTGTGCCTCTTCCTGCTTTAACCGTTGTATCGCTGATGATTCTGACACATGCTTCCGAAGATTCGTTGTTACATGTCCTTTCCAGTAACCGGAGATGGTAATTGGTGACAAAATGCGTGTGTTCACTATTGCCCTCCCAGTGTAATTTGTAGGATGTCGTTGAAACCTGATAGTCAACATCTTGAACACATCTGTACACTTCAATGTTGTAAATACTTCCTTTTGCGAACCTTAACTGGAAATTTGGATTTGTTGTAAGAGGAAAAAACTCTAAATGATAAGTTGAATTATCTACCATGTTGCTTCCAGTGGTGAATAAATCATCTGACAGAAATGAGAAGCCGTCAAATGTTGTGATGTTTCTGACTACAGCACTGTAGTGGTGTCCAAGATGCAGTGGATTGTCGAATGTAACGTTAACGCTCATACTGTGAGAAAAGTTATGTAAATCAAGAAAGTTAATCAGCCTTTCATCATTTAGTTCACATATTGGGCCATCATGGACAGAGATGGAATGAGGTACATCTGCCACAATCATAAATCCATCTGACGACGAAACAGTCTCTCCACCCGAACACTTCGCCCGAATAGATGTAAAGTACTTGATAAACGTCGAGAGAGCTGGTGACTTGATACAAGCTGTTTGTATATCCGTCCCAGTGACACCGGTAAACGTTGCTACGTCATCCATACCCGCTGCTGACCCGATGCCTATCTCAAAAGTAACGTTTCTGTGATGTTTGAATCCAGACCAGCGGGCACAAGCTGAATACTGCTGGTGGAAGTCCACGTCTGTCAAGGAGTTTACATCTGAAGGATCTACATCCACGACCAGAGCTGGACCAGGAGGGAATAGTGACGGAAGACGGATCGACTCTGTTCTTACAGTAGTGAAGTGGCCTGCTGAATTGTAAACATACAACTCAAAGAGACATCGTTTTCCAAGTTCTGAGTCCTGACGCTGCAGAAGGACCATTGGATACTGGATGCAGCCAGCATGTCCCTCAGCTTTACACACCTCACTTGCCCCAGAAGGAGTCTGCAGTATTGGTGTAACATAGTCTTCGTCCATTACTGTAACACATCATAGAACAACTTCAACTAGTTATCAACTATACAGCATAGCATGGTTGCTTACAGGGGAAAATACGGCAGATATTAATGTTTTCTTCTTTGATAGGCATTCTAGAAGTTGGGAAGGTGAAGAACTAGGACTATTTTTATGGATATACAACTTCTTTATTTTATTATAGGCGACGTTTCGACATAGATTGTAATGTCGTTGAGGGATGAGGCGAAAATGAGTTGTTCCTCCTCATCCCTCATCCATTGTACAAACATCTCATGTATATATATATGTATATCACCCATATTACTTCCCAAGTACCACTTGCTTGACAACGACATTGCAATCTATGTCGAAACATGTCCATTAATTGTAACGGAGTACGTTTATCAGCTATTTTAAACATTTGAGTGCAGATGGCAAAAGTCATTACTATCAGTGGCAAGATGCCATTAAAACTCACCTTGACTTATCAAAGTACTTAATCTATATATAATCTACAGATCTAGTACATTTACTGCCTCTCAGTTCAGATGATCTAAGTGTGTGTTTTGTTTTCAATAATTATTTTGGATAAATCTACATCATGCTTCAGTCCTACAACCCCCTAAATTGCACATTACTGCTCAGTGTTTTCAAAATTGAAAGAAATGGGCATATATATATTGTGTTGTTCAAGGTCACACTTAAGTTTTAGGTGCATGCCTCCGTAAGGTGTCAGATTAAAGGCAATGCTAATATACAGATAACATATTGCTAACAAAGGTATTATTATGTCAATGCATCAGGCAAAACAGAAATGATGAAGGCAAAAGTATTTAAAAAAATTCATTAAAGATATATACGTTCACCTTGCAACTGAGACTTACCCGCCCGGTATGTAACAGTGAACTGCTGATGTACTTCTTCAGGGTCTGAGAATGTGTGATTGGTCCAGGTGACTCTGATGTGATCTCCAACTATCTCTGGAACTAGTGTCCCGTGAACGTCTGGGGGAGTGTCATCTATCATCACAGGACCAAGGGTTGCCACTGATGAGACGCCAGCCTTGTTTTCTGTCTTGATGAATATGTAAAACTCTGTCCTACCATCAAAACCAGTTTCATGACTGTGAAAACTTGTCTTCCTATGGGTAGGTCTATAACTGGCTAGGTCTGGCTTGTTGTATGTTGACGCGTCATACCCAAACCCTACGAAGGAATCGCGAATTTGGCTTTCGATTTCAATAAGACTCCAGTTCAGAACAATTTTGTGAAACGGCACATAAATTACAGTCTCATTCAGATACGGTAGATTCCTACACAGGCTATCAGCTGTCTCGTTGTCTATGTAACTTCTATATACCATGGGAAAACGCAGATTCATGTCTGGGTTGTTAAGACATCTTTCCTGACACACCGACACCATTGGAAGCCTAGCCATTGTCATATTAGAGTTGATTAGCCATGGTTGATCAAATACGCATTGGAGACTAGATAAAGCAGATGCCTGGTGGAGGTTAATGTTTTCAATGATTGGTGGGGAGAGATCAAATGTAATACCATCTGAGCAGATAACATCAGAAGGCTCTAAAGCATTGTTGACAGCAACAAGTGAAGTAAAGTATCTACCTTCTTTAGGGAAAACTAGTGATAAACTTTCTGCTGTTGCCTTTCGAATGATGACATGGCTGGTGTTTTCTTGCTTCAGTTCATCAATACTAAGACACTTGTCTGCTAAGCCTACGATGTAATATCGGATACCACTCTCATGGTCAATAAAACCTCGCCAGCTGATCAGTACATGCCCTTCACTGGTGTAATCTATGTCTGGACCATCGATGCTCCCTTCTTGAACGATGCCAACTACAGGAGGAGACTCATCAACCAGCACATCCAGGTGAGCAAAGCTCTTCAGCATGGCCCCATTAGTTATGAAGAGGGTGAAGTAATACTCTCTGTTGTGTTGACCCGTGTTCGTGTTATTGGCTTTAAGAAAAGTCTTGCCAAGGTCCAGTGTATAGTTCTGGAATTCACAGGGCCCAACAGATGGACAGTAACAATCCGGCCCTCGTGGACACCTAACCTGAAAAGAAACAAATATTTTCTTAAACGTGAAACCTGTAGGACATATTCATTATAACGGACATGATGGAGCTATCACGGATTGTGATGCTGGTGAATTTCGTTTACTAAAACCCTGCACACAATTCCAGTACCAACTCTGGTTCAGTTTTATTAACTAAGAAATGAATTTACCTTTTTGTATAAACACATGCAATGTATTTGGCAGTAATGGGAATAGATGCATTCGAACATCAGATGGTAGTTGTCCAATAAGTAAACAAATCAGTGTATCCTGGACTAACATTTCTCATGCGATTTTATATGCATTGAGAGTAATGTTCAAAGCTAGACAAAAACGATTGCCCATTTTCATTAACACATCAGATCTCCTTACATGCATGAAATATCCAAATAAAGCGATTTTCCTTTCATAATATAAAGCAAACTCAAAATACGATTATCATAAATCCCAATATGAAATAAATAAATGTTCCAACACTCCATTTGTTTCCAAATTCAACTGGGTATTACCAGAGCATCGACTTTCCGGACAGGAAGTGCACCGTTTCCGAGATCTGAGGCCGCATCAGTTGTTCCAAGCGCCCACAACACAGATGTGATCCCACTGTGGACATCCCAAGCTCGAAACTGAAGAACCATCGTAGAGAGATCGGTGTTGTTGTGAACATATACCTGACTCGTTCCATCTCTAACTAGCCAGGTATCAGCGATGTCAGCCACACTCCTGTCTATGTGCACAACTACTGACTCCACAATGGTGTTCATCATTATGTCCTGGGCTTCAATCCAGATTTCATATGATTCACCATCCGTTAGATTCAGACCAAGGCTCAGAGATTGGTTGGTAAAATCTGGAACTGATTCCCATGACGTTTTTGAACCATTGTTGAGACTCCATTTGTACTTGAAACTTGTGATGCCATTGGTACTCACAGTACCGGTGACAGGTAAAATGCCCGTTACTTGATCATATACACCTGATATACCATTGCCTGTGTCTTCTTTCACTTGGCAAAAATAGTTATTGTTTATGTAATAATCATTATGATAACGTTCATTCCAGTCTAACTGAATGTTCCCATGGTGAATTTGCCAAGTATATGTAGTATCCTTTGACGCAGATATGACCCTCAATACTCGAGATGTCCTAACCTCAAGTTTAGATGAATTATCGTACAGCAGAAAACGTCGTGCAAATCTGACATTTCCAGCAACATCGTGGACTTCCACATATGTAACATACATGGCAGGCTCTGATGGGAGTGAGACTGTGATGTTCACACTGTTTCCGGTCAGCTGGCTTGATTTGAACACATGGTTGCCATGGTCCACATCCAGCGTATCAGGGCCAAGGTGTTTCATACCATAAATATCCATCCTAAAATACTTTATTCCTGAGGCTTGTTCCTGTTTTCCAGACTCAGGATAGGGGTCTACCCAGCCTGACACACCAACAGTGATGTTAGGGTATTTAGTTGCTCTTGTGGATAGGCGCATGGGGCTGTCAGAGGAACATGGAAATCTTGGATCTGTTGTACAGTGAACTGGGACAGCATTGTCGTATCTAAAGCAGATGATCTTGCTTTCGGGAAGCGGTGTAAATCTCTTGTTGCCAACGATGTCTCCTTTGAAGTTTTTGTAATCAAATGAACCCCCAGAAAAGACCTTAATTAGACCACATAACCTGAAAGTATAATTTCAAATGTGTTGTTTTTTATTTACATGACACGTTTAATGATGATTATGTATCTGAGAACGTGTGATAGTATCTGTATATTCGATTTATCTGCATCAGTTATCCAATAAGTGGACAGATGACAACAAAATGAATGAACATTAAACAATTATTTACCATTAGTGAATATCAACTTTAGTTATGCGGAGATGAACATACAGTTACACAAGTTACCATTCTCCATTTTGCAGGGAGGATGAACCAAGCAGTACTCTGTCACAGGAAATAAGAGGTGAAGGTGTTAAAGACGACAGGGTCTTGTTGCAGTTGCCACCTCCCCTCAACGTGGTGGCAGATAAAATGTGTTGTCTACCTTCAACATGTAAAGATATTGATTGAGACACTCTCGCCTTCAGGGATCAAGAAGAAAATATCCTTTTTGTGACCACCTAGTAATGTAACTTATTAAAAGTGACTCATAAAGAAATGGTTCTGATGTTGTCAAATTATTCGATAAACTCTCGATAAACACCTAACTGCTTGGGTTATTTTTATATTGGATGCTCTCATGGGCCGTCACCAGTGATCAATCTAGAAGCATAAAAAATATATTGATATGATTTTGTGGCGAATATCACCTTTCCAAGACAGGTACATAAACATAATTCCCGAGGAAGAGAACATAATTATGGGAAAGTGACTTAAATTACCCGGCACAATGGGACACCAGTGAGGGACAAATATGTTCAATTTGCTGGCATGAAGACTTGTTTATCTATACTATAATCTACATTGGGATCTCACCACAATAATACAAAGATTAAAAGAATTTAATTTTCTGTAGGTTAGTCAATCATGTGGAATCACTAGCAATCATTTCTTGAGGTATATATATTATACAGTTGTAAACAAATTAGCTTGAAAGCCATAACATAATATATTTTATTTCATTCAAGATGGTGAATCACAATAGCCACTCAGGACCCATTAGACAAAGAGAAACTTCACAAAATGTAATTTGAAAAATAATGAATAATTTTTCTCTGATGATACATCTATGTATCCGAAATGGGATCCCTATCTTTCGACTCTAGAAAAACGTTAGCAAAACCCACTCAAACCCATCCATTCCTCGTGCAAATGACGTTAGTGCCAAATCAGGTTTTGCACGTGCAGTCGATCACGTGATCTTCGCATCGAAGTTTTCTTCAAATGCACGTGTTTGCATGGGCCTCAAGAATTGAAAAAAACACTTTTAAACCACAGTTCTAACGGTACTTGAAATGCCACGATTGTCAAATGTGCAACGTGAACGTGCCGTTGGCATGTTGCAAGCGGGAAGATCAGTTATTGACGTCGCAAGAGCAATGGGATGCAGCCGTCGTACTGTGTATGACTTGCTAGGTCGTCTACAACAAACTGGCACCACTTCTGATCGCCAAAAGGTCGGGTTGTCCACGTGTGACGTCACGAGCAGAAGACCGTCAAATCGTCCTACGTCACCTACGTGACAGATTTCTGCCGGCTACACGAACCAGGGCTGAGATCTTTAGAGGTCGACTGTCCTCACAGACCATTCGAAATCGGTTGCGGGCTGCCAATCTCCATTCTCGACGTCCATATCGTGGGCCAATATTGACGCCGTTTCATCAACGTCAACGTCTGCTGTAGGCCGAACGTCACCTCCTATTGACCCAGAGAGACTGGAATCGAGTCATCTTTAGCGATGAATCCAGGTTTACCCTCAGATTCGCGGACGGCAGGCATAGAGTCTGGAGACGACATCGTGATTGGCAGATTCAGGGGCGGAAGTTGCATGGTCTGGGGTGCTTTCTGTGGGAACAACCGTTCCCGACTTCTGGTCATCCGTGGAAACCTCACATCTGCTGCTTACCGCGACCAGGTACTCACCCCTAAACTCGTTCCTTTCATGGCGGCTCATGGCCCAGGTCTACAGTTCCAGCATGATAATGCTCGGCCGCATACCGTGATGTTGACACGAAATTTACTTCAAAACGCTGGAATCAACGTCATGGACTGGCCAACGTTTTGGATTAAGGATTAAGGCCATCGAGGTCCCCTGACCTTAATCCAATAGAGCACGTTTGGGATGCACTTGGGAGAAGGTTTCGTGGTCTTAGGAACCAACCTGAGAATTTGCAGGAACTTGGCGCTGCCTTGCAAGAGCAATGGCGCAGAATCCCCAACCACGTAATCACAAGCATCAGGCAGTTGATGAGGAGAAGGTGTTTGGCAGTGGTGAATGCGCGGGGCGGCCATACACGATATTGAACTGAGAAATTTTGCATTTTTATTCTTGTGACTTGACATTCTGTATAACCATGTTTTGGAACGGCGGTGTAGCCTAATGGAACTGATTATGTCACTGTCAGTGTATCGAGTACATCACACAGATCTCAGCAATGAAATACTAACAATTTAACCATCTTACCATCTTTATTCTTTTATAGTGCCCTGAAGAAAGAATGTGAAGTTTCTTTTTTGACTCAGAATAGATCATGAACGCCTTTTTCAATCAAATATGGTTAAGTGACGTTAAATGTACCCTCCATTAGATAGAGGGTCACAGTTTTTTACAGTTTATGATCCTGACGAGACAACAAAATCAAAATCAAATTCGAACTGATTATGTTTCAGGGTTTGATGCATCAAACCCGTTCTCAAGCAACATGCAAGAATCACTTCACACTCTCCTTCCGCAACAAAGAATCACCCCGTTTTAACCGTTCAAAAAGGTGTTTAATACATCTCACTCCCTCGGGGCGGTGTTAAGGCGTTCGCCCGTCACGCTGGAGACCCAGGTTAGATTCCCCACATGGGTACAATATGTGATGCCTATTTCTGGTGTCCCCCGCTGTGATAATTCTGCAATATTGCTAAAAGCTAAAAACTAAACTCACTCTCACTCACTCACTCAATATTGATCGGATGCAATAGTCCATTCTACCTGAGAGATCTTTTCTTGTAACTGTCAGGTTACTGTCCACGACGCCGATATAGGTTCTGTTGATGTATACAGGCGGAGTTGATAATATTTTTTTATGAAACTCAGCTTTTATTCTGAAAGACATTGACTCAGGTTGTATGTTGATATATACGTCTGTCTGTGAATAACAGTCTGTGGTGTTGCCAATACTGGTACTGTTCCTGACCTCATGTCTGTGGTCTTCTATTCCAACGTTGCAAGTGAGCAAATCCGCCTTTGTGGTAACTAGAACATAACATATTTGAGTGTTTGTGTGGATACAGGCAAACATATGCATAATGCAGTTTAAGCGACTATTATTGAAATCACACGAGGAGTGGTAAGGCAATGAATGAAAGCAGCACCCAAATTGTGAGCTAGAGGAATGCTTTTGAAATGCAGTCCAGTTGATCGCTAGTCACCAAATTCAATAATTACAACTTTAAGATTATCTCAAAGGCAAACCATGGACCAGCATCGTGATACACGTCTCTCCATCTACTGAGGACGGGGTTCAACTGTGATGAGTTCTCAAATTGTGAAACACTCACTGTCACAGGTGGAGTTCCCTGACTTCCTGAATCCACTTTCACACGAGCAGGATGTCATCAGACCACTGGAACAGTTGCCAGGCCAACACCACCTGTTGTCCACGTATGAGCAGGTGACTGGAATATATATAGAGTGGTATTGTTTATTGGGTGAACATCAATTATACTACACATACATTTGACATATGAGCATCAGATGGAGTTCATGTTCGTTATGATTTCTGTTGATTGATTTATATGTAATGTTTTAACATCATCATCCAACTGGAATACATAAAAGGTCCAAAACAAACCTAAAACCTTGCTGCAATGGTAGAATGTAATGATAATCGAATTATCAGCAAACAAAATAATCTCTTATTGGACGTTTGGCTTACATATTTGTTATCCTTAAGAACTGATGCATATGTAAAGATTTTGTGAAATTCAGTACTCGAGACTCCATGTGAGTGAGGTCAATCATTATCAAACAACTTATTGGTGATCTTGATTTGTAGGGTTATGCACATTTTTAACAAGTTTTAGTTAGCTCTAATAATGAAACTCACGGTCACATCTCTCCTTGTCTGGACTAAGCCACTGCAGGGACATTTCAACTGCACTTCCCATATCCTGACAAGAACCTGGAATGCGAAATGTTTCTGTGAGATGATCACTTCAGTTATCAGTATCAAAATGGTATGCACATTCGCTGGGATATCAAAATTAGCAGATTGCGAATATATATTTTTAATCCAGTTGGCCTTTGCACGGATCCTAGCAGGATTTACACCATCAGCTACAGACGATTTCCACCAGGTTAAGCCAATTCTGAAGAACGAATAGTCTACGATTAACATATTGGCAATAATAAGCATACCTTGAATGATGTGTTCTCATGTACCGTCTCCGGAGGACAATCATTGTACAGTACTTCAACACCCTTCGAGGAGCCAGCCACTTACAATCCCATCTAAGTTATCAAACTTTCTCGTACCAAATTCAAGGGCAGTTAACTCGTACCTCTCCTCTCATATAACATCTTAAGTCACAAGGAGGCCACCAGTTGTGTGGACATCATTCTTACCCTGGATACTCTGCGTACGTATTGTACACAAAAGTTGGACACTCCGGTAATTATTACAAAGTTGTCGTTTTCTGCTGACATCTGTGGCGTGCCCGCATAGTACGTTGCTGAAGCCGCATGCTTTTTTTTTCTGTAACAGTCTGTCTTAACTACAAAACACACATACACACACATTCACTCACTCACTGACTCACACATAAAGAACAGTTTCTTAGACGATTTAATAATGAATATAGCGCAGCACACAAATCTTCTGTTTTGGCACCAAAGGACAACTATTGAACTAGACACAACATCAGGCAACATAGGGTGTATGTGATGAGGCAAAACCTCGAACATGGGAACGTTGCACAATGTATCTCTATCTGTATCCTACGTCGCATACCCGCATGAGTGCGACAGTTCGATGTAGGTACTAACACCGTTATCAAGGAAGTGATGATAACGGTGTTAGTACTTTGCTTGATAACGGTGTTTGTACCTACGCCGAAACGTTGCACTCATTGCAGTAAAGAAGTTGCCTATCCATAGAACTTGGTTTCATCTTTACAACTTCTAAAATGCCTTTCAAAGAAGTTGCCATAGATGTACGACAGGGTTCTGTTCTTAGTTCGTTTCTGTTGTCATTGTTCAGTAATGAATTGGTCAACGAAATCATGTCCACTTGAACAAGTATGGTTAGTTGTAATATACCCCCTTTCCAATATGCAAGACTAATATATTGTCCTAAATCAAAACTAAATGTCCTGCTTGACTGTGTTGAATTCTACATCATAAGGGATCAATATTTCAATGTGAAAACAGTTAAGGATCTTTTTACCAATGTTAATTTTCATTTAATTATTATTTTCTTTTAAAGAAATTGATTTAATTGGTGAATTTTGATTAATATGTTCTGTAGTTTGATGTATTTTAATGATTGGTAGTTTAGATTAGTAACTTGATTGTTGGTGGCTGTACCCTCAAAGGGGGTTAAAGTACTGTAATTTTTTTGTCCCGAAACATTTAAAGTAAATTTGAACTTACCACATTTTAAATGTAGAACTTCTGTTCTTTTAATTTAGGCTAAATTTCCTACCATCGCCAGTGGCTCATGGTGTAAATCCAGCTAGCGCCCATGCAGGTTGCAAAGGTACTGTGAGTCCCCATGGTCCCTAATGCGGTGATCTACCTTTAGTTGCTGGTGATCTCTAGCCCATTTTTAAATGTTGTATTGCGTTTAATTTTACAGTTTTAATTTTCTTTCTGTGATGATCTAGTTATTTTACTGTCCTTCGTCGACAGTTATTTTATGATTTGATTGCATTTATTATGAATTTGTAATTTGTTAAAGTCACTTTGTGACTGAAATATTGCCGATGTGACTACAAACCTTAACTCACTCACGAAATGTCGTGCTCTAGAATTCAAGATAATGTCATCCATAATTAATACACTTGTTCTATCTGACTTCCAACTTCTAAAAACGCCACTCAAAGAAGTAATCACGTTGTATGTTAAAATAAACTAACTATGTTAAAATAAATAAGCGCAAAGAACAGGTGTAACCAGTGAGTCAAGGGCAGTCTGTGACGTATTAGCTAACGTCATGCTGCCTAAACCTCGCCTTAAAATATAAAATACGATATTTTAATGTTTAAAATTAGAATTTATTTGTAAATACCATTTTCTTATGAACAAGGAATTGGAATGTCCTGCAACTAGAATCGTTTGTTGTGTCTCTTTTCACTTTCACACGGAAAAATTCGGAACGGCTCAAAAGTAGGTCATTAACTGAATTGGTTCACGAGACTCATGTTTCGATTTGTTTAATTTGTGTCTCACTCACTCATTTTCCCCTTGGGAATTGCGACTTTATGTTCGGTTAATTAAGTTATGGAAATAAAGAAATGTAAGTCATACCAAAGAAATATGATTAATCAAGATGTGAACGCGACTTGCACCTACACCCCATATACACACAATGCAACGGTGTCACCTTGCTGATAATTACTTGACTGATGGTATCTTGAAGAGAGTGTTTTTATCCCAGAATAATTTCCTCTCCAGGGTGGATTTGTCCTAGGAGTTCCTATAGTACATTAAATCTATCTGACATTGAGCAGACATGACTGATTTGGAAGGTAATTGTGTCACAGTTTGTGAGTAGGAAACAACTCGATTTAGAGAGGTAGTCCACATGATTAAACTTCTGCTTCTGGGAAGGTGATGTTTCTTATGTGTTGCCAATACACAAGGGTCTAAATTTTAAACAGATTGCATTTCTATGTCAGATAGGTAAATCAGTGGAAAGCATATTGGCAGTTAATGGACGATATCAGATCACATGCTATTCCTTAAGCTAAACAAAATTCCATCAGCACGCATGATGTACTTCGTGTCAAAATGTTTTAATACACATTATCACATGGATATCAATATGGAGGTTCAGAAATGAGAATTGATGACTTGATGGCACTCTTTAACTTGAAAAATTAAGAAGTCGCAACGTACGTGCACATATTGTTTTCCCTCCAGATAGTTTAAAGATGACGTTGTTCTTAGTGGGTGGAATGCAAGCATCACAGGTCAGACAAGGCTGTGTCTGACAGTTTGGAATGACAGGGCACCCTGTGACGATACACAAAAACATGCACTGCATTGGACTTAACCTTAACAACTATCAAGGTCCTTATGAAATATTTTACATGGCATTCAGCGCAGATATATTTTCATCTATTCATGTTGTCTCAAAGCATTCTTACGGAAATTATGAGGGTTTAACATAAGCATAGCATAGAATGTGTATTCTGCTTTTACCAGTCACTCAATGCACACTGTATGTGTTTGAAACATCAACTCACTGTCACATGTTCTTTTGTTTGCAGATAATCTGAAGAAAACATCCTTCAAGCGCGACTTGCATGTTGTACAGGTTCGACAACGCTGTGTTACACAGTTGGATATACCCGGGCAAGCTTGAGGGAAAAGAGGTTATTCAAATCACACAAATACGTGACACACATACGAAAACGTCTTTGATTCTTGTGTTTTTTTTTCGGGGCGGTGGGGTAGTCTAGCGGTTAAAGCGTTGGCTCGTCACGCCGAAGACCCGGGTTCGAATCCCCACATGGGTACAATGAGTGAAGCCCATTTCTGGTGTCCCCCGCCGTGATATTGCTGGAATATTGCTAAAAGCGGCGTAAAACCAAACTCAGTCAGTCAGTCAGTGTTAGGATTTTCATATAGTTTCATAATGGGCGATCTTTTTGTTCCGAAGGGCGACAGACTCTCGCGACGGTCCAACTTCTCGCGTCCGGTCCTGACACAATGTGCGCTGCGACAATTTGGTACATGTAACAACTGAGCCCACGTGTTGCCGTGCTTCACCTTCACTGAAAAAAGCTGTTAATAAAGGCGTTTATAATGAAGGCGTTTATAACGGAATACCTTTAACTGAAACAGTTGTGATGTGATTGTACGGTTTGAACACCATCATATGTTCAGACTTCAAGTGTACTACAAACTGGACACGATGAGAGATAACAGGAAAAACATCATGAAAAAATAGTTATTTTGTATTGTCATTTCTTACGTCAGAACAGGAGTCATTGTATGTCACTATGCTATTGCCAGTTTCTTTAACTATTGCTGCATTAAAATCTAACAAATAGTTGCTATACTACCACTGACCTCAATATCATAAAAAGGATATGCATACTTCGGCATCATTTATCGGGGATTAATAAATACCTCTAATAGTAACCATTTGTCCATCACATGGGATAAGTATTTCAATGTCAAAACAGTTCAGGACCTTCTCACTAATGTTAATTGTCATTTAATCATTGACTTTTTAAAAGAAATAAGGGATACAGATAAGTATTTCAATGTCAAAACAGTTCAGGACCTTCTTACTAATGTTAATTGTCATTTAATCATTGACTTTTAAAAGAAACAAGGGGTACAGATTAGTATTTCAATGTCAAAACTGTTCAGGACCTTCTTACTAATGTTAATTGTCATTTAATCATTGACTTTTTAAAAGAAAAAAGGGATACAGATAAGTATTTCAATGTCAAAACAGTTCAGGACCTTCTCACTAATGTTAATTGTCATTTAATCATTGACTTTTTAAAAGAAATAAGGGATACAGATAAGTATTTCAATGTCAAAACAGTTCAGGACCTTCTCACTAATGTTAATTGTCATTTAATCATTGACTTTTTAAAAGAAAAAAGGGATACAGATAAGTATTTCAATGTCAAAACTGTTCAGAACCATTTTACTAATGCTAATGATCATCAAGTTTTGATTACAGTTGTATAAATAGATAAATGTTTTATGATTAGAAGTTTATAAAAACAACTGATATTGTTAGTGACTGTATCATCGAAGGAGGTTAACATACTGTAAAATAATTGTCTTCCTGAGAGGGTACGTAATTCCCAAAACAATTATAGTAACTTTAAACGTACTACTTGTTTTTAACTGAAGCATATATACTAAGCAGCAAAGGAAACGTCAGTTTGGAATTTTCCTTCGCAGAAACGGATAACTGTAAACTCATTTCATGTTTTGATTGTATATTTTTGACCACATCTCCAACTTTACCTGAGCAAAGACATTCCTTACCAAACTCAAAATGGAACCCAGGAAATGGTCTCAAAAACGCAACCTGATCTCGGAGATCACGGTGTTATCCATGTTTTTCATGCAACTCATGCTGCACGTGCTGTTCACAAGGACCTACCGTATAAAATGCACCCCAAACCTGGTTAAAACATTCACATTACAACGTCAGCAGGATGCCGCGACTCACGACAGCTCAAAGGAACCAGGCGCAATTAAGTCTGGCCACACTGCACAAGCCGTTGCCAATCACTTCCAGGTCAACGTTCGGACCATTTGCAGGCTGCGGAAACGTTTCCGGGCCACCAACACCGCAAATGATCGCCCTCGTACTGGCAGACCAAGGGTGACCACAAGACAAGACCGCCATGATGTGCGACAGCATGTACAGAATCCATTCATGCGGGCATCGGAAACAGCACGCCAGACAATGGGAACACACGGAAGACCAATCAGTACTGATACAGTACGCCGACGTCTTAACAGCGGGAATCTCCATTGCCCTAAGCGTTACCGTAGACCTATCCTCACCCCTCGTCATCGGCGTGAACGTCTACAGTTTGCCCTACAACACCAAAACTGGCGATACAGGCAATGGAGAACTGTGTCTGTTCACAGATGAGAGTCGATACTGCACATCAACTGCAGATGGTAGAACAGGAATCTGGCGACGACGTTGCCGGCGTTACTCAGACCAATGTGTTATGGAAAGAGACTGATAGGGAGATGCAAGCATCATGCAATTGGGTGGAATATGCCTGAACCAGAGAGTGGGTCCTTGGTCCAGGGAGAGGAGGCGGCATCAGAGCGGTGCGCTACATCGACCAAGCTCTCAGACCCAATATCATACCACATTTCGCACGTCACCGGAACAGCATTCCCAGCCTGATAACACCCGGGCCCATGCTGCCAGAGCTACACGCGACTTCCTACAGCACAACGGTGTCAACGTTATGCAGTGGCCAACCCTTAGTCCTGATTTAAACCCAATTGAACACCTTTGGAATGAAATTCAGAGGAGACTGAATAATGTCATACAACGGCCGAACACAACCTATTTATGGCCAAAAAAACTGTTGCGAAATAAAGCCTGTTTTTATATGGTATTGTCACTTATTGTTAGAATACTTTAGATTTAATTACTACTTTTAAATTTATATCTGTGATAAGCTAGTTGTTTTACTGTCCTTCGTTGACAGGTTTTTAATATTTACTTTCTGTTACTATAAATCGAATTTGATTTAGTCACGGTATGGCTGAAATATTGCCGATGTGACTTAAAATATTAACTCAATCACTCACTCTAATAGTAACTGGGGAAATAATGTGCAGCATTTAACAGTCGGTTACAACATTACGTTTTGATCAATAGTTCTTCATACATTCATTATTTTTTTAGATTTTGACAATACCTTTTCAAAATATACAATCTGTAAATGCACCATGTATCTATCATCCAAACAGTTGCTCCGTTGCAGCACAGGTACTAGTCATCATAGTATGAAATAAAACATTTACCAATATTCATCTATCATTTAAAAGACGTGTCCACCAGTCATTCTAAACGTCATTAAAACCAATTCTTACCAAATTCTTCTCATAAAATAAGTAGTAAAATTACAGAGATTTGTTTCAACCAACAACAAATACTTACTACCCCAAAGTGAGTGAGTGAGTTAAAATTTAACGTCACATTGGCAATATGTCAGTCATAAAGTGACGAGAACAAATTTGTGTTAATTATAAACTGAAATTTAATATAAATTTAATAGTTTTTTTTATCTATATGAGGAAAAAATGTAGCTGAAAAGTACCTTTGAATATGTATTCAGTGCTAAGTATAGAACTATAATAGGTTCTTCTGTATCTGAACAAATATCATTATCTTCCATTGAAACGTTAAGAAAAAAAACCCTAATGATTTTTATCCACAATTTACCATAACTAAAATGTAATTATTGTAAAACCCAAAATAGACAGACATCAAAAAGAATTTCATGGTTTTGAACATTTTTGAACATGGTTTTGAACATGGTTCACAGATGAGTTACATACTTTGTCCCGTGACTGTTTATTTTACTGTTTCTTGAACTTTGTTTCTCACCTCTCTCAGTTATATATCTGCCAAATATTTTTGTTCCTGTCAAAAACATCCTATTATGTATGGGCCGACAGAATTCACACGTCGCATTCAAGATGTTTCACATTTCGCGTACCGCATCACCTTACCCCCGTATTGAATTACATGCACATAGCGTAATTTAAAAGAGGTTTGCTTACGTATAAAATGGAAATATGCTTCTGGTTTAAAGTGTGATCTTAAAAAAACTAGGACAATTCCAAAATTACCGACAACAAAACGTACAAAAAACGACGAAAAATCACCTGTCACGAACGATTAGCGGATCCCACCGCTTTGCCTCGAGCGGCCATCAGGTGAATCAATACTACAATATATGCAATCATGGTCATCCTTGATGTATTATGGAGTCACTGAACAAGAAATACAGGACAGAAAACTAGATATACCATGGTTTAGGTTGAAATATGTGCTGACCTTACGCCAACTGGAACGTTACCGATAAAGGTGAAGGCTACACTGGTTAACTGTCTGTAAGTGTGATACTAACACGTACCGCTGGCATCGCGCACACGACTTGTTTCAGGTTTAAGGTTGGGCCGTCCAGGATCAGCGCACCTAGCGGATTAGTTAGTGTAAGATAAACTGAAGAAGATCGCCCATTAAATTATATTTTTATGAAATAAAATATTGACCTGTGCAAATGTAATTCTGTTATCAGAAGTATGAGCTTACCTGTGCTATGTCCGAGGTCTTTACCATTATCTTTTCCCTTCAGCCAGCAGTCACATCTAAATTCATATGTTACACTCGATTCAGAACGTTCATAAATGCGCACCTGTCAAACAGAAGAAGTGTCAGAGGATTCCTACTTGTGACCTGTAACGAAGGTATGCATAATTCGTAACTCCTGGAAAAACACCAATAGTTCGGAAGCTTTAGAGTAGAAGTGGTAAAGATCCATTTGTTTTAGGTTTTGTGTGTGAAAAATACAAGTAATGATGCCTGACCATTACGGAGAAGAGTAAGAAGGTCGAAGTTCGGCTCACTGGAGTCACTACCACGCTTTAACACACACTTTACAATTAGGGGTGTTCCCTGAGACAGATGAATTATTCACTCCACCTTTTCATTGGTCGGTAATTCAGCAAAAAGGAACAGTATGACTACAAGCAAACTGAAAACACCCAAGGAAGCTGGGAATACAATACAAACATTACCCAGTCTAACTTCCAGCTTGGATTAAATCGTTGGTTGCTATGCCATAT